ATCGCAATCTCATGGGCCTACCCTTGTACACGTGGCCTGTTGTTGACAGGAACTTCACGTGGCGCGTGAAACACAGAGGTCCCCACTCCTGAGCCTGCCTCCAGGTTCGGCCACCACATTCAAGAAGCCCCAAACCACAGGTCCATTGCCATAATACAGCCCTAGGCCTCTGAATTAAAAAGCCAGAAGCACCATCCTAGGGCTTCATGCCCCGAAGAGACGGCAAGAAAGGCTGGTGTATACGTGTGCAGGGGGAACTGCCCGGCTCACCTGTTTAAGTCACTTGTTACAGCTGGAAAGACAGGGATCTGGGCATGTATGAGAGCTCCACTGGGCATTTAAGTCTAAGCCAAATTCCAGTGACTGTGACTACGTCTGCCCTGGCAGACAGAAGCAGATACAGTGAGGGTTTCAGATCAAAAGCATAATCTTTAAATATAACTACAATTTATCATGTACGTCAGCACGTTGGGCATTTTATGTAACTTCATTTAATCTTTGCAACTACCCAGTGAGGCAGGTTTATTACCCTGATTTTCCGATTGAGGAAACTGAGGCTCAGAGAGAATAAATACTGTGTCAAGATCACAGAGCTGGGACTGGACACAAGCACAGTCCACGAGGCTCCGGGCACACGCCCTTCCCAGGAAGCACGCCTCCCCAAGCGGCTCTCTGCACCTGTGTGTTCGCAAAGCTTTCCGAGCAGGGAGTGCTGGGAGCTCCTGAGTAGGCCTCAGGGCACAGTGAAGGCTTTCACTACCTTAGGGCAAGAGGCTTCCATCCGACCTACATGGCACAGGTTTGCTACCCGCATGCGCTCTGCACTTGCACCCAAGGCGCGCCCGTCGGGCCTTGTGCACTTTTCTCCTAGTGTGTCAAGCCATGGGCTTCGGTTTTCCCTCTTTTTCTCTTAAAAAGAAGGGTCAGGTACTGCTCGCTTCTGCCTTAAGCGCTGCTGGCCCGGCAGCCCTTTCTACTCCTCGCCTTCAGCCGCCCTCCACTCCCCTGGAGCTGGAGCACTGACAGCTGAGGGGTGGGCACTCCGTCCTGCCATGCCTGGGGTTGTGACTTTGTGGCTACAGAACTCTTGGAGAGGAGGAAGCGTTAAGAGGCTCTTGGTAGGGAAGGAGTCTTTCCAGCTACAAACTACCACAGAGTTCCAATGTGAGCTGTAAGAGCTCAATTCCTCGCATCCCCCACGAGGTCATGTACCGCCAGCTCAGCTCCAGCCCTGAGTATCTGACCCATTAGGGCAGGTATAGGGGTAACAGGTAAAAAAAAAAAAAGAAAAAAAAAATCCACAAACACCAGGCTTAGTGACTTACCAGACTTCTTCAGGGGTGAGAAATATATCTATGTAGAGAGTGAATATGTCATTCACTTACAAAAAAGAGAAAGAACCAGAGTCCTATGAAAATTCCTTTAATTTTTATCTTTTGGAAATACATTTTTCATTTTTATTTCCACGATACAAAAATGTTAAATATCTAACAATGATCTATCTGAAGCAGATCTACAGAAGTAGATTCACGGACTCTTGCTGTTGTTGGGCTCTGTTTCCATAGAGAAAGGGCTGGTGCATGTTGTCGATTTGCCATGATTCCACACACACACGCACACGTATGCACACACGCTGCTGCCACCCACACAGAAGACACAAGCAGGCTAAGACACTGGAAAGCCAACGCACGACTACATGTAAGAACAGAAACTGACTTTTTCTACTCATACACCCCCACGAGAAACTTACATCTCAGGAAAAATAACTAAATAAATATGCCCCAAAGGCCAAGGCATACGGAAGCTCCTTCGTGGGATGACATTGGTAGATGTCTTCCTACTGGAAAAACAAGCGTGAGAGCTTCACATTTTCAGGCAGCTACGGCGGGAAGCAGGGCGACGGCAACCTTGTTCTGCAACTGCCCCCAAGTCTGAGCTTGACGAGGAGACGGATGAGAACCTCTTGAAGCAGGAAAGAGTTCAATCCCAAATTCATGATCACAGCACCCAGAATGTCAGCTCTTTTTGCATATTTCACAGCCGACATTCCCCATCAGGTGGATTCTTAAAGCACATTCCTGACAGCAAAGGATTCCACACAAGCAACAAATAATTAGCTGGTTAATAACGTACACATTCATGACAGCCTACGACCATGAGGAGTGTCAACAGGCAGTTTAGATTAAAAAGGAAAAAAACCATGGTCACAAAAATAAAAACTGTTTTTTTTTCCAGGATATACTTGGTTTCAAACCCCTCCCATACCACATTTGATTAAATTAAACACAGTATGGCTTCCAGACGTGCCGGCTGGCTCCTTCTCAGCGACAGCACCAGCGGTTTGTTTCACTCAAGTCTTGGTTACCACGTGTCAGGAACTTCAAAGAGTGTGGCAGGGCTGTCTGAGATGTTTCCTGGTGGGAAAGAGCAAAATGATATGAACAACAGGAGGACAGCACCTCCAGGAGAACACAACGCGACCAGCAGATAAACAGAGCGCCCTGTGCTGGCTGCAGAGACAGCTGCGCATGGGGCCAGGTGGGGCTGGCTGCACAGCCACAACTAGAAGTACACAGACACGTCCTGGCTAGGAAGAGCAGTGCTCAGCAAACGAAGGCAAAGCCACAGAAAACATCACGGGGGGATTAATGAAGCACCTCCCACCCCCAGCTTTAGGTGCCTCTATTTATTTATTTTACAGGATGGCATAGTAGCTCTCCATTTTACAGATGCAAGAACAGATGCAGAGAGGTGAGATATCGTGAGCAGCTGCACACAGCTGGCTAGTGACTGAGAAGGGATTTGAATTCCCTTCCCTTCCCTTCCCATCCCATCCCTTCCCATCCCATCCCATCCCATGCCATCCCATCCCATCCCATGCCACAGCACCAGATCCCTGCTGAAGTCCCAGGAGACTGGGTTTCTCTGCACTGTGGTGGGGTTGGCACCTAGATGAGAAGTCTCAGGTGGCAGCTGTGGGGCAGACGGAAGCTGACCAGCAGGGGTTGAGAAATCCCAAAAGGGGCAAAAGAAGCTTGTGGCTTTTTCCAACTTCAGCCAAGTTGTCTAAGATCCCTCTTGCTGGACTGAAGAGAATCTCTTCAGTTACGAACAGTTTCACCCCAAAGTCAGGAGCCCTCTTTTCAGTCATGCCACTTTCTATGATAGCACCAGCAGCGGCCAACAATTAGGCCCTGGACCACCGATACCCAGACTTCAAAGAATGTGAATTAAGTCAGGAAATAGAGTATTCACAATGCAAAGCGTGGCAGACTGGGCATGAGCTGCACAAGTGGCACCGTGCCTTAAGTCGGGCTGGCAGGGCTGGCAGAGAAACTGGCAAAGTCTCCCTCCCAGCTGCTAACACTCCAAGATTTCACAAAGGGAGAGAAGTCTTTGATGATGCCTCCATGGGAAGTGACTTTTAAAAATGGAGGGGGTGCAGTGTCCTATAAACTAGGAACTCACTTGGCTGAGAGTAGCTGTCGTTAGTAACAGGGATGCCGAAAGGTAGCTAGGTCCAAACAGAAGCAATTGATTACGTGGAGAGAATTCCAGCTAACATGAGCATTCCCACGTCTGATCATTTACTACGATAAGATCCAAAGAGTTAGGATGGGGAGACCAGGAGAGGAACACTGGAATTTTTCTGCCCTGGGTCTCATGGCTGTGTGGAAATTGTATGTCCTGGGACTCCCCATACCCTGGACAGGGTATGATCCACGTGAAAAGGATTCACACGGTCCAGTCAGAAAAAGAATAAAGATGATTAAAAAAAAAAATCCCTCTCCCAGGAACCACTGGATACTGCAAGCGGCCCATGGTAAGCTACAACTAGAGTGGCCTGCTCAATCACACATTTCTACAATACTTAATTGTAGGAAAATAATACCAATAAGGGCATTTTGACAATTCACATATCAAGGAAATATTACAGTAGCCCATTAGCCATTCTAAAGGTAAAAGCTACAACGCCAAATGCAGGGAACTGAAGTAAACTAAATCCAGCTGAGACGAAAAAGATAAATTGCTAAAAGCAACTGCACTGCGCTATTTGTAACCTGCACTGCCATTAGCCGGGGTGTATGTGAGCATGACGGCGAGCCGCAGCACACGCAGGAAGTGACTGTGCAGAGCCAGCGAGAAATAATGGCATAAGCGAAAGCTCTGGGGTGAGGGAGGTCGGGTCTGGCCATCGTACCAGCTGGATGACTTTGAACAAGTCTCACTGCCTCATTTATAAAGTGAATCTAATACCACTTCATGCTGCACAGGACTTCTGTGATACAGCAAAGTTCCTGGGTAAGTTCTTAATGAATGTTAGGTCCCTTCCCCTTGTCAATCAGGTGGCCCAACACTGAATACGGCTGTTTCCCAGGAAGGCAACAATCTGGTGTCAAAAAGATGCTAGTTTTTACTGCCTAAATGTGCAGCTGCTGAGCAAGAATTACGTACACAGGGACCAGAACTTTAGGAGCGATCGATAGGAGACCCAGATCAGAGGGGAACTGAAGGTCACTATCCGTGTTCTTTCCAGCACTTTCCAGAAAGGGAGAGCCGTAGACTAACAAAGGATCAGTCTTTGTTACAGGAGAAGCTACTGGAAGGAAGGAGCTATGGTCAGCTTAACAGAGAACTCATTTTCATAAGCCTTTTTTATTAGGTTATTAAGTATGAAATGTCCAATTTCCTTAAGTACTAAGTTTGACAGTTGGTATCTCTGACATTTCACTCTGACACTTTTCTTTTTCATTGTGAAGGGACAGCTTCATTCTTTCAAACACACATTTTGGCTTGTAATTATCTTTCAAAAATTTTTTAGAGCAATTTTTGTGAAACCATGGATAAGCCAAAAATTTGTGTTATTTTTTAATATGAGTTCCATCGTGGAACCAATGCAGCGCAGACAGTTCGAAATATCAATGAAGTGTTTGGGAAGGATATGGCTAATGAATGTACAGTACATTGATGGTTTGAGAAGTTCCATTCTGGTGATTTTAACCTTGAAAATGAGCCATGTGGGCGACCTGACACCAAGGTGGACAATGATGAGCTGAGAGCTATAGTGCAAGCGAATCCATCTCAACCTACACATGAATTAGCAGCAAGGTCTGACGTTACTATTCCAACAATATTGGACCATTTGAAACAAATGGGCAAGGTAAAGAAGCTGGATAGATGGTTCCACATGAATTACACGGGCATTAGAAGAGAAATCACCTCAAAGCTTGCCTTTCTTTACTGTCACTACATAAAGGCAAACCATTTCTATATTCTATTGTTACATATGATGTAAATGGATTATTTTTGACAACTGCAAGCATTTGGCACAATGGTTGGATAAAGATGAAGTGCCAAAACACAGTCCAAAACCAAATGTTCATCAAAAAAAACTAATGGTTTCTATTTAGTGGTCCAGTGCTGGTATCATTCACTA